GAACTTTGTCTTTCTTGGTTTTGCTTTCTGTCAATTCCCACTGTTCTGACATCCAATTTGCTTTCTTCTGGTTTTTAGCCTTTGACAGTCTTTACATTAATCCTTCACAACTTTGATTTCATTCACAGCTTCTTCATTGACTAACAATGAGGTTCGAGACTTCAAAATGATTCTTAATTTTCTTCTTGAAAGTGGTGGGTATAAGCTCAAAATCAAAGTGTGGAAACCAGTTGGCTTTCTTCTTCAGCTTTAGCTTAGTTTGGAACTTGGACATGAGCAGTTTGTGACCTGTGCCCCAGCCCTTGGCTGTGTCTTTGCTGTTATAACTGAGTTCTTCCATCCCCTTGTATTGATATAGTTAATTTGATTTCTGTGTATTCTGTCTGGTGATGTCCATGTACATAGGTGTTGTTTTAGTTTTTGGAAGATGCCCTACCAATAAAGAAATCATTGGAATAAGTGTTCTTTTTTTATCTGGGTTTCTTTCTGCCCAAATAACTCCCAGCAGATATATTTTTAGCAGCATGTGTATTTTGCTTCCTTTGAACTCTCATAATTATGCTTGTATCCTTTCTTTGTTCAGATTGACAGATCCTGTTTAATGGCTGGCAGCCATAGCTGGCCTGATCCAAAAAAATCCACAGGAGAAATAGTTTTTCTAAGGAGTCCAACTTTAGAAATATGTGTATGTGTGTGCACATACAAGTATGTATGTATGTGTGATAAAGGACTACTGTGCTAACCAAGCACATGACATTTTAAAAATGTACCCACTGAGTCTGTTGTTGCTGCTACTGGTTGCTATAATTATTCAACCAGCCATAGACCTGCAGAAAATCTGGTGTCTCAAAATTGTATTTCCTCACATGTGGGGAATCACCTCCCATAGCTACTACTTTGATATAACTCAAAGACTGTCATTTTAACCAAAGCAGAAAGCTGTAACATGTTCTTATCTTACTCAGCATGACTGAAAAACCAGAATTTAATAAACCTGAACACCAGCACCTCTATTGGTGGCAGAGTATACAACAATTAAATAAACCAAAAATATACCGTACGTCATGATCTCATGTTCCTTCTGAAATGCCACTGGATGACGAAGGTTGGATAGAAAAAGGTGAAATCCTGAAAACCAGATAATTACTTTGAGAAAAATACATAGATTGGGTCAAGGGGAGCATATAATAATTTTAAAAACCTGGTCCAAAGTTAAAGCATTAAAGAAGGTCCTCCTTGCCATGAGCCTGACAAGGTGAGAAGAGAAACAGAGTTAAAGGTACTCAAGGGGGAAGCAGTACCTATCTGTCTTTCATCCTGAAAAACAGCAGGAATGGAAAGTGCAGTCAGTGAAAGCCAATGTAGAAAAGGGCACGAGATAAATTTGATATGCTTCATTCTAGTCAGTCTCTTTCTGTTTTTATTCACCCAACAGTGACTGAAGTATAAATTACTCACTTTCTAGGGTTGTAATACAAACAAATGCAAAAACACAGCAATGTACATTACATTTTTTAAAAATGGTTGTATCAAGGATTCAGAGGAGCCCATCTTATTTAGTTCTTAATAATCAAAATCTTTGTATCCATCTTTCTCTCTCTCCCCAGTGTTGGCCTCATTAAATGCCAGCCAAACCTCTTTAGCAAATGCCAATCATCCTAGACCCATATCTGCAGCCCCAAAACTGGACAATCATGCTTATGACCAATGAAAATGCATTTCACTATGCATGTTCCTATGGTTACACTGAAGTCATTGAAGAGTTGCAACACAAAGCTGGGCCTTTTCATCACTGTTTTCTTTCATATCTGTTTTTTCTGAATCAACACGCATCAAACATAAAAGAATGTCAAACTTCAAAAGCAGTAACTATCTATACCTCTTCTCCACCTCATTCCTGCTGTCAGTCAGAAAGTCACTAGGTAAGTGGGCCAGATGGATTAGATGAAAATAACTGTGATAGGAATAGGACAGGGAACAAACACATTGCATTGCATCCCAAATTGCATTGTTAGGTTGGGTTCAAATTGGGACCAATTCTAAGATTGATTAGGACAGTTCACCCCAATATTTAGATCATGGTTTATAGCTTTCAATGAAGAGGCCTTCATCCCGAAGTGGATTGATGTATGCTGATTGATATAGGCTGATGATGATGATGGTAATAATACCAATAATAATATTGCTGTAATTAACGTTAAACATAGTACCATTTTATATCACAGAATCACAGAGCTAGAAGTGGCTATCAAGTCTACCTCAGGAATTCAAATTAAAGCATTCCCAACAGATGGCTGCTTAGCAATTACTTGCATATATCCAATAAAGAAGCTAGCTTCATTCTTGAACCTCATTATTATTATAATTCTCTTCCTAACAATTAACCAAAAACTACTTTCCTGAAACTTATGACCATTATTCTGTCTCCTCTATTCTGACATGACAGAGAACAGAAGCTGAACCACTCAGTGTAATACCTTGTCAAGTACTTTAAAAGTGTCATCATATCCCCCCTCAGTTGTCTTTTCTCAAAACTAAACATACCCAATTTCTTCTATCTATCTTGGTAAGACATGATTTCCTGTCTTCTGATCATCCTTATTGCTTTTCTCTGCCTTGAACTGGACACAATACTCAAGGCAGATTTGACTCATGCAGTGGAACTATTAGTTTCTGTGATTTGGAAACTATACTTATATTGTTGTAAGGGATATGCAAAACTCACTGATCCGGGAACAGAACAATTAGCTTTGATGGATCCCAAATCAAACACCCACATTTCCAGGTGACCATCCTTGAAGTATTGCGACTGGATGTTGTCCAACTCACAGCTGTCTGTTCATTCATGGAACAATCATCCATAGTGAAACAATACATTTTAGCCAAACTAGTTAGAAATGAATAAAAAATGGCCTCTGTGTCTCATAACAGCTTTGGGTGAATATGCTTCCATATTTTTAAAACTTCTCCTTCTGAAAGTAGTACAATTCAATTCTCACCAATTGCTAGTTGATTAATGATTAGCTAATTGCCAGCTGATTAAATTACTTTCGACTGAGCGCGTCATGGTTACTGTAGCTGTTTATAACTTAAAACTGTTAATTGATGAGGTTCTGATGATTCGTTTTGCAATTTTTCATACAAAACTGTGGTGGTATCAGTCCATCAGAAGTAGACGTGCTGTATGTATGTCTGTTTCCACTTCAAGTACAAGAATCAGGTTTTCTTATAGAACATTACAAATGAAAATGATGAAGGCTGTGGCCTGATAGTAGAAATGTGAATGATGTGGCAAAAAAGAAGATAACTGCTTCAGACTGAAAGGAAGAAATCACTGGAGGAGAAAGGAATTTGGAACTAATTGATCTAAGGAGTAAGAGGCCCTGAAGTTGTATGCAACCCATCTATCTCCTTTGATGTGCCCTAGAGATCCCAGAAATCAACTGCTGTGCTTTGGCAATGAACAACTGAGAAATGATGGCATGATTTCATATTCCTGGCAGGAAAAAAAAAAAGAGAGAAAGAGCTTTGGTTTACGTTTAGCACACCAAACCCATGAAAGCCTAAATGCTACAATGCTAAAATGACACCCTGAAATCTCAGCCCTGCCCATTTCAGTGTTGTCATGACATGCTTGTCCCACCAGCCATTGTCCCTCCCACTTTTGTCTTTCACTGTGTGGAAGTTTTCTTTCATTAGTCATATTCCTCTGTCCCGTGATGCAAACAAATGTACACTGTCCAAACTGTAGCAAACTTACAGCTTTTTCAAGCTGAAAACCGCATCCTCCCTTAACATCTTTTTCATTCTGAATATAACCAAAGCAAAACTCAGTTTCTAGACCTTACTATCCTGATTCATATCCCCTGGATGTTCCAAATGCCTCCTTTTATAAAATGGTAGCATCAACTACCAAAGGGGGGCCTTTGCACAGATTTATGCACCAACTGCATCCTTTCCTGGACCGGGAGGCCTTACTCACAATCACTCACACCTTAGTCACTTCCTGGTTGGATTATTGCAATGTGCTTTACATGGGGCTACCCCTGAAGACCACTCAGAAGTTACAGCTGGTCCAGAATACAGTGGCACACACAGTATTTGGTGCTCATAGGTTTGCCCATGTTACACCTCTGTTGCACAAGCTGCACTGGCTCCCAGTTTCCTTCCAGGTGCAATTCAAGGCTGGTTATCACATTTAAAGTCCTACATGGCACAGGACCTGGTTATTTGTGGGACTGCCTCTCCCTAAGGATATCTGCCTGTCCCACCAGATCAGATATGGTAGGCACACTCCAGGTCCCTTCCCTGAAATCCTGTCATCTAGTGGGACCTCGGAAGCGTGCCTTTTCCATGGCTGCCCCTACTTTGTGGAACATCCTTCCCCCAGCGATTTGGCAGACCCCCACCCTTTTAGCCTTTTGGAAGGCCATCAAGACCCTGCTTCTTACCCAGGTGCTGGGATAGGATTGTATAGATAGGAATGAGGGCAACTGGAGCCTTCTCTGGGGCATCCTAAGGGGACAATTAAGGTGCAGGGTTTTTGTTTTATTGTTTTACTGTTTTTATGATTGTTTTATAGTCATTGGTTTTATTGTTGTTGTGAGCCACCCAGAGTTGCTTAAGATGGACAGTCATATAAATCAATCAATCAGTCAGTCAATCAATAATAAGCTCTGCCACTTCCATGTTCTATTATTTTATTTTATCAGTCCATTCTTTTATTAATGTTATTATTTTATTGGAAAACAAAATATTTTATATCTCTCTTATTTTCCCCCAAACAGCAAAATCAGATGTGGAAAGTTTAAAATCAGAGGTCAAAGAATCAGTTTCCTAAGATCCAAAATCACCTGGCCCAGAAACTTGCTGTTCATAATAATACTATTAGAATTTTGGGATAACATACAGATAATAGTTAATAACACCACCATCTATCCCCACCCACACCTCTTGGTAATACAAATTCCCAGCATATCCCTACCTGCTATCATCCTCACCTCATCACATGGAGCTATTCGGTGGATAATGTCTTTCAAACATCCAATCATCTTTTCTTCCTGAAAATCATAAGGAAAGGTTTCCGTCCATTCTGTCAGTAACTGTAAAATCTTGGGCCCAAATTTTCTGATCCGTGCCTAAAATGGGGTAAGTGGGGTTAGGGAATGAGGGGTGAAAAATTGAGGGATGTGTATCAGCAGGTACAGAAAGAGAAAGGTCTAGTGGATTTAATCTTAACTTAAAATTAAAGCATTTGCAGGTTAGCTGGAAAACTTGTATATGTGCAATAATCTTAATGTCCTTAGATTAGGTAGAGATAAGTGAATCATTCAACTTTCCTTCTGGGTTAATTTTGTAATAATTTATCATCACGTCTTAGTACATTTCTGCATTAATCCATGATTTTAAAAAAAATCTGCCTGGTTTTTTGTTTAAATTTGCATTTTTTGGAATTGGATTTAGCAAAAATGGAATTCTCAACCATCACTCCTCTAGCTATACCTAATATTTCACTGTTCACTTTGCATAGTTACCAGTTACTCTGAAAGGTTTAGTTTAAATCCAACAAGTCATTGCTGCAGTAAATCAATTTAGTACTTTTTCCTAGTCTCTGTTTCTAATACATTTGTGTGTGATTATCTGCATTATGCGTTATTCATAGGAGATGTCACTTCCAAAGTATTTTTAGGGGCCATTTCGGCAAGTTCCTTTGAAACAGCCACATATCCATTATCGTAATAGAAACTCTGGATGAAAACAGAAAGTTTCCTTGCTTTGGCCTCCAAATGAAAGGTACCCTTTAATCAAACAAAATTATATTGTGTGTATTGAAGTTTCCTGCTTTTTCCACAAAACTAGTCAGTAGGGCTATTTTAGTATTTGGCCAAAATAGGTTTCAAGGGAACTATCACTGGACATAATACAGCAGTTAAGGATTTTGAAAATTTCAAGGAAGTAGGGACCATCCATTCCTTTTCCCCTCTTATTTTTTTTTTAACTTGTGTATAAAATATTGTTAATCCAGGGCAAATGAACACATGTCCTTAGTATATAGGGAACAAGCACTGAAAATTCATATCACAGTGAAATGTTTGTTGTTTCTTATCATACTCTGAAAGGGGAGGCGGTGGCGCAGTGGCTTAATGACGCTGAAAGTTGCCAGCCAGAAATGGTCGACACTTCAGCGGTTCGAGGCCAGCTCTGTGCAGCCGAGTGAGCTCCTGCTTTCT